TCTTCTTCCAATGGTGATCCTATAAGGGGTTTTACAAAGTTTGATCCAAAAACGGGGATCATTTTCTCTAAAACCAAAATTGTATTGAAGCACATATCTACTTTGGTATTCACTGAAAAATAACTGGTACATGTGAAGCATTGAAACATCCAAGTAGCAAAATGTTATCATGCAAAGAAGAAAAAGAACATACATTTGTTCACATTCTAGCCTCGAGGCCACCGATTCAGCAAAGTTAAACGTAACAATGGTTTGCAAAATACCAAGACAGACATAAGCACATCAACTTCAATAATATGTTCTCGAATCATATTAAGAGCAATGAATTCAATTTGAGATTCATGTTTCTAATAGCTACCGATTCAATCATACTCATTTATCCTCTTAAATCAACGAATCCATAGGAATTGGTTCGATTTTGCCATCAGATAGACGAGCGAGGCGAAAGACAAGAAGAGACGAGAAAAGACGGAGAAAATTGGGATATTTTTTTTTCCTCTTCTCAACAGTTCTCACCCAATATCTATTGAACACGTGACCTTTAGGAACGCTCTTTAAACTCTTTATTTAAAGATCGCCCCTTAACAATTAACCAAATTCTGATTTATTTTTAATCATCAAAACCTTAAGAACCTTTATAATTTTGGTTATACACCTGCCTTTGGTGATGGTCTTAAATTTCGTTTCGTAAGAGTATTAACCTAGCTAATTACAAAAAAGGTTTTTGTTTAGCTACAAACAAGATGAAGGCCATTAAGATCCAATCGGGAGTGATGAATCGAATGCATACATATATATATTGATTTATAGTTGTGGCTTAATTAGTTTGAGCCGACTTGATGATTTAAAGTTCTTGAAATGGAGTTCGATAGTCCAAACTATATATATATATATATATATATATGGCATTGTGGATGTTATATATATATATGTTTTTACAGATGGATATAAAACGAAGATGACTCTATGATCGGGTAAAAACGTTGTTGATGACCCAATAGCCGGGTAGAAACACCATAAGCATTAAGCATGTACATGTTTCCAATGAGCTTGTCGAGAAGTATTAGAGATCAGTGAGATCGAATTCAAAATTTACAATTAAAATATTATAGATTTGTCAATATGATAGATTAGTAAATTCAACTTAAATACATATATACTATTATAGTTATCATTCATGTTAATTTATCTTAATATAGGAAATTAGGTTTAAGATCAAAAGTTTTGATTCAAAACTCTATAAATCGGTATATTTATCTTTAATGAGAATCTAATAATATAAATCGATATATGTATCATTAATGATAATCTAATAATAAATTTTTGTAAACAGACATTTTTCTTTATACTTTCATCAATCTATCAAAATCCGTTTTATTCGATCAATTACGAGCATATGATAGAAAAAACAAGAAAAATGTGTTACGTTATTTATATTTTTTGTGTCTAAAGAAAAAAAGTATATATGAAAGCACGTAGATGATGACTATTGAGTATTGATAAAAGAATCCAATTTTGATTCAGAAAAAAATTGTTGTTATTAGATTTGTTATTTTCCAGGAAGCACGCACGTTTTTGTTGTTGTTGCCAAATTCAAACTAATAATGTAATGTACCTTCGCTTCTGTGTTTTTCCAAATTTCAAATTTTGGAAATTCACACCGTACGCTTTATATGTCAATTATTGTACTATTCTACAAACAAAACTCGTTTATTGTAGTTGTCCATTTGAATATGCCCAATTGTTATGGCGATTTTCGATTAACCGTTCAGTTTTGTTTTTTAGGTAATTAGTGTTAGAATTGATAAAACTCCTTTTGGAGTGCTCTCTTATTAGGGACTCATATATATAGCATTACAATCGTAACGTGAAATTTACAATGATTGAATTTACATTTACATTGCCTAATACTTCCTGCAGGCTTAACGTCGAGTGGACGAATGCTAAGACTGGACCGAAAATAAGTAAAAAGTGGCAAATCCCTTAGTGAAGATGTCGGCAAACTGATGCTCCGACGGTACATGAAGAACCTTGACGTCACCGAAGGCAACTCTTTTACGGACAAAATAAATGTCTGTTTTCAATGTGTTTTGTCGTTTGATGTTAGAATCGATAAAACTCTCTTGGATTGCTCTCTTATTAGGGACTCATACATATAGCATTACAATCGTAATGTATAAATTTTACATTGACTAAATTTACATTTATATTGCCTAATAATTAGGAGGTTCAGGTTTTAGGCTCGTAATTTCTCTAGGATCGGGGAAAATCGGATGAAAATCACTGTACAAATAGAAATATCTAATGATTTGTGCTATTAAATTAATAAAACAATGGGTTCTGATTATAAGTATAGTGAATGAGAAATGGAGTAGTTTTTAGTTTTTATATAAATCTTTTATGTAAACCAAGTGAAAAAAAAAATATATTTTTTCAGATCCATTTACAAAAGAAACAATAGAAAGCCGGATGAAGACGGTCACGGGCTCACGGCCTCCAACTTTTTCACATGACGTTGTTTGGGTAAGTTGTTTTTTTTTTTTTTTTTTCTCAAATCTAGTTTTAATATTAAAAAAAAACTAGCAATAGTCTAAAAGTATGTTTGAGGTATGTCATTAGTAGTTGTTATAATGTAATGGTTATTAATGTTTTGTAAGACTGCTATTCCTTTCCATTTTATTAGATGTTTTAGCTAAAAAAGCAAAAATTTTAAAATAATAAAATTTTCTTATTTATAGAAATTTTTGACCAGTAGAAATAAATATTGCATAATTTAAAAATTCATAAAAATCTAAAATTAATACTCTCTCTATTTCACAAAAAGTGTCATTTTAAAATTTTATACTTGTTTCATAAAAAATGTCATTCTACATTTCAATGTAAATTTTACCCTCAATTCATAGCTAATTATACCATTAAACATCCATTAAATAAGGGTATATATGAATAATTAAATATTTTCTTAATTTGTGTAAAATGTGTCAAAATGACACTTTTTGCAAAACAAAAGATGTATAATTTTGCATAGAAACTTGGAAAAAAAAAAAACTAATAAAATGGAACAAAAACAAAAGTCTAACACAAGATGGCTTTAGGCCTGGTTACACTGGTGTCCCTCTAATTAATTATCTTGCCTGCGATGACAGACAAAAAAAAAAAAAAAAAAAAAAATCCTGCCATGATGAAATGTATATTCTAAAATCTGGTGACTCTTGATTCTTACTCTTTAAATTAATATTCTTAGACATGAAAATGTATTTTATGATACTAAAAAGCTTATAGATAAAATCCATAGAATGTCTTTTTTGTTTGGGTTTTGTGCAAAAACAAATTGTGAATTACTAATGACTAATCACTTTAACATTAACAATTTAACATTGGCTGAGAGTCTAAGGTTAATGTACGTACCACAGCTAGCGTTGGCACCACGGCACACCTTTAGAAAGGCTTTTGGTTTCTTGGTCTTCAAACAACTTTGCAGTGGTGGGTGGGGAAGAGAGCTACCTCTCATTATTAGTTTAACTGTTATGATTTCTATCATGAAATCTAAATCCCAAAGATCATCTAGATTTAATTTAATTTAACTATGGACAGTTTTTTTTTGTAAAAGAAGAAACACTAACCTTGATCCATTGTTTGGTTGGGCTTGATGATGGATTCAAGTCTTCTTCACAGATTGATTTCTTCTTCCCTTAGTCCTTCTTGCTTTCCTGTGATTTTTTATGAAGAAGATCACTAATCTCTTTTATTTTTTTCAGTCAGCGGTGTTTCTCTTTCAATAAGAACAAAAACTGTAGAGAATCACGTTTCAACACTACACATATATATATACATGTATATGCATCCTTCCAGAGAGTTGCATTGGTTCATAATAACCACCTAGATCTTTAATAATGCATAAATATAATATATACAATAATATATATGACTTATATAATATAGTTAAGGCAAGGGAAGAGGGTTATCAATACACCCGAATTCTAGTTCATCAATCGAAACCGATTCATCACGATGCCGTATTTAATATTAGAATTTATAACATTAATATGAATTTGAACTTTATAAATAAACCGGAAGACACATAGACAATATTGAATATAAAATATTCTTACGTTGCCAAAATAAAAGTATACACCAACCAAAAAAGAAGAGTCACTGATGCATCGAGGCTTCAACCATATATACGAGACTTCAAGATCGTAGAGACCCGATGCAAAAAATCGCTGATCATAACTTCATATTGTCTGCGTCTGTATAGTTTAGCTACTAGCTCATTTCCTTGCACCTTTTCTTTTACAGCTGCTTCTTACTTTGTATTACTTTTGGGTGTATAGTTTGTAAAATTGAAACTATTAGTGCCTGCTTTGATTATCCGTTCATAAAAAAAAGTTTATTGCTCTTATCGCAATTCAGTTGGAAATTTTGTTTTTTGGGCTTTGTATGTTGATCTTGATATTTCTTTTAAACTCTTTTTTTATTTTATTTTTTGGGCTTTGTATGTTATCTTGACATTTCTTTTCAACTCTTTTTCTATTTTTTTTTTATTTGGGCTTTGTACAATAAGGTAAAAAATAGGGAAAAATTGAAAAAATATGAAAAGGTTGTATCAAAAATATAATATGATAACTGATTTGTAATTTGAAATACAAAATGACAACTAATTAAAAACGGAAAAAGATAATTTAGCACATAGTGCTAGATAATATCAGGCATCATATTTGTTACACCTGGTTTGGAATTTTTTTTTTTTTTTGATAATGACATCTAATTTCAAACGGAAGGAATTTAATTTAGCATCATATATGTTATATTTGCTATATCATATTTGTTATATCAGTCTGACATCATATTTTTTACCACCAGTTCTGATTTTTATATTTCTTTTTTAATTTTTAAATCAAAATATCTACAATTGAAATCAAGATATAATTTCACTTAATTAGATTTTTAACTAAACTCTTGTCATATCTCCTCTTTCCAGATTAATGGGACTATAGAGATGAAACTTTGAAATTGAACTGAATCCAAAAGAAGTCAAAACTGGCCGGTTTGGTTACAATTTATTCATCTTAAACTCGAAAAAAAAAATGCAAATAGCAACCAAAATAAAACCAAACCAAGTTGAACAATATAAAACATCTCTAACGCCAATCATCACTCTCGAGGCTGGTAATAGCCTTGCTCACCCATCACCGTCTCCACCTCATCAAAGTCATCAGACAGTGGTTGCTGCTGCGGTTGCGGCTGAGGCACTGAGGGGCGTAACATACCATGGCCAGGCCTATAGTGATTCACCATCAAGTCTGGAAAACTGGTTGAAGCGCCCGGAAACTGATGACCAGTAATGTTCTCACGGGGATGGCTAACAAGACCACTTGTGTCCGCATAATGAACAGAGTTATCGATAGGAGAATTGTAAAAGATATGATTACCATGGAAATTATAACTATTCATATATGAGTGGTTAAAATCACTCGGGGTGTCATTAGAGGTGGTGTCAAGGCCGTGGCCCGTGGCGGCCAAGATGGCTGGCTCGGCATTACGAAGGAGCCAACCTACGGTTGCGCCGTCAGTCTTGAAGCCTAGCTCTTGTGTCAGCTGGAAAACTTGAGCAGCACAGGTCACCGGAAGCCGGATGCGACGGTGACGGTCCTTGGATGATGTTGGAGTCATCTTTGTCCTTCGCTCAGTGTTGCTTTTGTTTTTCCTCATATCCATTTTTTGTTTTTTTTTTGTTTTTTTTTTGTTTTTGCTTTAGTTTTGCTCTATCTCTTTTGTAAGTGTAATGTACATGGTTTATATAGAAGATTTACATAAACAATAATGGTGTAAACTAACTCATAAATATAAAGTAATAAGTGTATTTAATTGTATTTGGAATTATGGGGAAATCAATTTTTTAAAGGTTAAAAGTTATATAGGAAAATTATAATGATAGGTTCATACTAGTGGTAATTTTGAGGAAATATTATCTAAAATCTTTACAGACCAAAGACAGCTAATATATATATATATATATACATTGTATCACACAATATTAATGCATCTTATCTTTTTATTTCTATCTTAAATCTTAATTTCTTATCACTTTCTATAAAATGGATGACCACTCCAAATTTACTTCTTTATATTTTTTTTATCACCATTTTTAATTATTAGTTAGTTTTTATAAGATTTGACAAAAAAAAAAAAAAACTTTGACCAAAAAAAAGAGTTACTTTTCATAAGATAAATCAATTAAAAGTCTTTTGTGTTATGAATTCTCCTTAACAAATAAAAATGTTTAAAATAATAATGAACAAAGAACAAAAAGAAGAACAAAGAACGTTTGATATTAAAAATACGCATATATACATAGTATAACATATTAAAACTATATGATTTGTATAAATAATGAAATTCTGAGGCATATTCTATTAAATTTGGATATTGTACATCTGATTAGATGAGAGATCACCATGCACTAACTGAAGTAACCGCCAAAGCAAGTAATCGAGGATCATAACCATACAAAATAGCTTCCCTACCAAAGCTCTACACGAGAGAAACCTTTCAGACGTATCGAATAATAGGAGGGGGAGAGCTTTACATTAATTAATCAGTATGAAGAATTTGAGCTTTACATGTACAATCTCGGTTCTTTCAGCAATATCTTAACTTGTCAACTGTAAAGCTTCTTCATTTCGTAGCAACAAGCAAAAAGAAAAAGAAATTTAAAGGCTTAGAAGAGAATAGTAACTCTTATAAGTAGATTGATAAGTTAGGCTTAGATTTGAAGCAGAACTCACTTAAATGAGTTATTCAAATTTTAATTGATTTGTTTCATAGTGTATCTTTAAACATTGTTTTTTCAAGAAATGTTATAATTTATAAACTTAGAAGTTTGCTTTTTTTATTCGTAAGAAAAACAAAAAGAAAATGTTGTAATCCTAATTAGGGCCAAGCAGCCAAGTTTTGCAATATAAGCTTGGATTTTTTCGAATCGGGCCAAACTTGAATATTGCGGGCTTTGCTGGTTTTGACTCGAGCATGGAGAAGGAAGGCGTTCAAAATCACCAAATGAGTGATGATAATAGTGAATCTAATAGGGTCGGAAGGAATTGCCCATGGTATATTATCTTTGTAACAATTATCATAATCTACAACAATTAATAAATCTAAAGACGATTTAAAAAATGACAACTAATTTGACACAGAGGGAGTAAAATTACAGAGTGCCACACAATATTCGTATGACATCATATTTGTTACAACCAATTACAGAGTGCCAGACAATATTCGTCTGACATCATATTTGTTACAACCGGTTTGGATATTTTTCCTTTTGTATTAAAATACATTCTAATTTTTAAATCAAAGTCTCTAAAAATGAAATCCAATTATACTTTCACTTAATTAGATTTCAATTAAACTTTTGTTATTTCCTCTTTTCAAAGTAATGGCAAGAGATAATTTTTTTTTTTGATATTGAACTTAATCCAAACAATGAAATCTGGTTACAATTATTCATCTTTTTTTTTTTTTTTTGAACACCACAATTATTCATCTTTAAACTCGAAAAACATGAAGAAACAAATTGACAAAGAAACATCTCTAACACCAATCAATACTCTCAAGGATGGTAATAGGCTGGCTCAGCCATCACCGTCTCCACCTCATCAAAGTCATCCGGTTGCTCCTGCGGTTGCGGCTGAGGCGCTGAGGGGCGTACCATACCAGGCCTATTGTGATTCACCATCAAGTTCTCAGAAAACCCGGTTGAAGGACCATACTCAGGCATTGTAGCACCGGGAAATACCAGTCCATGGTGACCAGTAATGTTCTCACGGCGATGGCTAACAAGACCACTAGTGTCCGCATAATGGACTGAGTTATCGATAGTACAACTGTAATTGTAACTGTTACCAAAACTGATATTACTACAATTATGAATATTCATATATGAGTGGATGAAATGATTCGAGGTCTCATCCGAGGTGGTGTCAAGGCCGTGGCCCATGGCGGCCAAGATGGCTGGCTCGGCATTACGAAGGAGCCAACCAACAGTTTGGCCGTCAGTCTTGAAGCCTAGCTCTTTTGTCAGCTGGAAAACTTGAGCAGCACAGGTCACCGGAAGCCGAATACGACGGTGACGCTCCTTGGATGAAGTTGGAGTCCTCCTTGCCTTACGCTCAGTGTTGTTTCTCAAATCCATTTCTTTTGGTCTAGTTCTTTCTTTTGTAAGTGTAAGTGGTAAACTACATGTGTGGTACATGGTTTATATAGAAGATTCACATAAGACAAATACAAATATGTATTTACGTTTGAATACAATAATTGTGTAAGCAAATTCATAAATATGAAGTGATAAATGTATTTAATTGTATTTGGAATTAAGGGGAAAGAAATTTTTTGAAGATTAAAAGTTATATAGGAAAATTAAAATGATAGGTCCATACTAATGTAATTTTGAGGAAAGATTATCTAAATCCTTTACAGACCAAAGACAGCTAATATATCATATCTTTTTTATATTTATTTCTATATTGAATCTTAATTTTTTTTATGATTTTATATAGAAATGGAAGATAACTCCAAAAACTTACCTCTGTCATTTTTTTTTCACCAATTATAATTATTAATTGTTTTATAAGAAAAAAGGAAAATCAACCAAAAGTATTTGGTATTATAAAGATTTTCTTACAAACATAAAAATACCAAACAAATAATTAACAAAGAGGAAAAGAAAAACAAAGAATGTGTGAAGGGTCGACCTGTAGCGTAGTGTTTTCTTACTAAGTAGTGTTTTATTTTAAATGTTGTTTTGCTCGTAAGACTTTTGTATTCTCTGTTCTATAACTATCTTTTGGTTTTGATGTTTTACGTTTCTTGTATTTTCGAACTTTTGTTTCTTTGTTTGAAGTTGCAGAAAAAACGATCGGCTAGTTAAGAATTTATGTAGTAAACAACAGTTAAAAGAACAAAATTTAGTAGAGCCTTTACAAAATTTGAGCAGGGTTTACATCATTGTCTCTCTTTGTCCCGAACGGCTACCCGACCCTGATCCGAGTACCCGAATACCCATGCCTAGAACTCTCATACTTGCCCATAGTTATTTTTCAGTTTGGCAAATGACAGAACTTGTAATGGAAATATGAACACTGTAAAAGCTTAATTTATGGATTTCCTTAGTTCCAATGAATCTAGGCTCACTTCTAAATTCGCCGGAGGTGAAACTTGACTCACCTGTTTCTCACTTTATCTTCTTCCATGAGACCCTTGGCTACCTCGACACCACGGTGATGGCAAAGACGGATATCGGGAGCCTCCTCAATATCTTCATCAGGCTGAGGCAAATAAATTCCATTGAATTTGGACATATTACATTTCTGTAAACACAAGGACTAGAGAATCCGAAGAAATGAGAGATCACCTGAAGTAACTGAAGCAACCGCCAAAGCAAGTAATCGAGGATCATAACCATACAAAATAACTTCCCCGCCCAAGCTCCACACGAGAGGAACCTACAAGAGATCAGATATTCATCGGTAAAAAAGGAGGAGGTCGTGAGGTTTACATAATCTATATGAGTAAGAATATAATGTACCGCGATAAACGTTCTAGAAGATTCCTGTTTGAACACTTCAAGGCACGGTCATACACAATCTCGGTTCTTTTAGCAACATCTTGCCAACTGTACAGCTTCTTCATCTAGTAGCAACAAGCAAAAACAAAAGAAAAAATCAAAAGGCTTAGAAGAGACTCTTAACTCTTGTAAGTAGACTGATACATTAGGCTAGGATTTGAAGCAGAACTCACTCGATTGTGCATCTCCTCGGGGTTAATACTCGGGAGTATTGATATTGCCTTCTCAATTGCTCGTACCATATCATCCGGATCTGGTTCAGCAAGTACAACCATGTCATCTGGTAGGACCTGGAAACCGTGAAGAAAACCGGATTATAGAAAATCTGGAAGAAAGAAACAATGTAGATGAAGCGAAAGGGCAGAAAAGGTATTATTGGAAACGTTACATGCCTCTGGGACTCCTCCAACACGAGTGCTGACAGTTAATAATCCACAACTAGCCGCCTCCAATATAGCTATGCAGAAAGCTTCTGTTAAAGAACTGTTAGAGGATCAAGACTGTAGTAGCAGTAACTGAGAAAAACAAATGTCAAGTTTGTGAAGTTTAAACATAAAAAGTGAAAGAATCAGCACACCTGTTGAGGAAAATATGACCGGTTACCAAAACAGAGCGCACACGAGAATGAGGCACTGCACCCAGCATTTCAACTCTATCTTGGAGAGAATGCTTCTCTCTCATTTCCTCTAATCGCACATGTTTTGGTCCGTCTCCTCCAACTATAAAACGAACCTTTCAAAACCGAATAAAAAAATCAATTTTCGGATACCAAAGAGAAATGGCGAAAATGATTGATTACTAATATGTGCTGCGAGTAAACTCACATTGGGGTATAAACGGCATACTTCTGGAATAACTTCAACAAGCAAATCTGCACCTTTCCGATAAACCAATCTACTTATGACAACTATTGTGATGATATCAGTACTGGGTCGAACAGAAGCGGGCTTGAACATAGCAGTATCAACAGCATTTGGTATCATAAAAACCTTTCCTGGAGACAATCCAGACCTTAGAACCGTATTCTCCTTGCTCGTGTGTGAAACACAAATCGCCTGGTCTATATCTGCTAAACTGAACTGTAAAACCTTGTTCATGTGAATACTCCCAACATCAGCAAACCCATACAAGGAATGATCTGTGAACACAACTTTATACCCCATTGTCCTGGCATGCATTAAAGCTTCATGACAAAGCGTAGAGAAAGCTTGATGCCCATGAACTACAGTGATTTTCTCGCGTCTAAGTATGGTCCTTACAATGGGAAGTGTTCCATAAACCGTTGGAAACGTAGTCTGCATAACAAAAGGTCTCCAAGGTACATAATATACTTTGAGTCCACCAGTCATATATCGAACTCCCGAACGGTTCCCATAAGCATGTGTCATTACCACCACCTGCAACAAAGGTAACAATACCTCAAACCAATATTAAACTTCTTGATTACAGCTATTAATGATAAAGCCTGAAACTAGAATTTTAGTCACATCCTCTTGAACTAGCATAGAAGGGCTTTGAGAATTTGATTTCACCATAGCTAATAACACAAAAAAGGCATGAACTTTTTGATCTCACACTGACTTTGTAACCGACGCTATAGAAGAAACTAAATACAGTAAAAGCACCAAAACAACAAAGAGAAGCATGCAAATTTGTCCCAAGGCTCTATCACACTATGCTACCTTACTTGATTACAACTAAAGATAATAAAGCCTGAAACTTTAATCTAGCTACATCCTATGGAAGGGCTTTGAGAATTCGATTTCGCTATAGCTCAAAACGTAAAAAGGTTTGAACTTTTTTGATATAGAAGACACTGACCTTGTGACCGAGCTTTAACAAGCATTGAGAGAGATAATAGATGTGATTCTCGACACCACCAAAGTTTGGGAAGAAGAAATCAGAGACCATTAAAACCCTAAGCTTTGGTGGTTCCGCCATAGATTAAAACTCAAACCACCAAGATTAGTTCTACAAAGCAATCAAATTAGAAAATTAGATACTCTAATCGGAGAACGTTACACATTTTACACCTAAAAAATTGAGGAGTGAAAATGAAAAGAAGAGAGATTGACTCACGGGGAAGAATCACGGCGGAGCAAAGAGGCTGAGGAACATAAAGCGATCGGAACTAATCGGACCAGTGATTTGATATGTTGATCTCGGTTTAGTCCTAACCTCGGTTCAGTTAGATTATTTGGAGAGGAAGATGGGCTTCGTGTTTTGGAAATGTCCAAGAGAAGATACTGAGGCCCATTAAGAGAGAGGCCTTGGCTGCAGATTTTTTAACTTGTGTTTTTTGATTATGCAAAAGCAAGTTAATTACCTACTTGCCATTTTCAAAAAATTAGATTTCCTAAAAACTAGACAAGGGTCTGCGTAAAAATGCGGATTAAAATTTATGTTTTCACGTATGTACTAAAAATATTACATGTGTTAAAATTTAGAAACTCATAACATTTACAAAAAAAATTAATCAAATTAATTGAATATCATATTTTCTAATATAGATTAGGGTCCATCTAATAGACGGATTATTTATTTTTAAAATAAAATGAAAATGAAAATTTTATTGTAAGAATGTTATATCCAAAGTATTCAAAAAAAAGAAGATAATTTTTTAAGTTAGTAAAAAACTTTTGTTGAACAAAATTATTTATGTATCATACATATTTTAAATCTTTATTAAACATTCATTATAAAAACCTCGTAATGTTAAATTATCGATCACCAAAAAAATTGTAAGCTATTCACCATTTTCATAGTATAACTATTACCAAATCTTTCAAAAAACTTAATTTAGATATTATACCCTAAAGATGATTATACCATTATCCTAAAAAATGTTATTTCTTAACTTCCAGTTTTTTTTTAAAACTATTTACTTTGCAATTTATTATATTTCTGAAACTTAATTAATGATTACAAAATTTGATGGTAAAGTTCTTACAAATTAACAGAATTTTGATGGTAAAGTTCTTAATTACTACTTTGCAACATCCCCATAATATCTACACTTTTGAGATTTGATTTAGTAGACGTGGTAGCCGTTCACATTTTTTAATCTGTATTATATTTTTGTTAATCATTGCTAGCGGTAATGAGAGTATTTTTTTTTGGCAAATTGTCAAGCACCGCCTCACCCAACACATATATTTTGGTACAACAGGAGTATGCGTTACTTCAATATTAACATTAGAATGATCGTTGTTAACTAAATTTAATTTGTTATATAAATTCTAATCATAATATATAATCAGACCAAAAATGTCATATTAGTTGACGTACATAGTTGATAATACAGTCATGCTTTAGATCAGTTGATAAGAGGATCAACAAACTCTTCGTACACAGTTGTATTTCTCAATTTTGTTTCATTTGGATCTATTTCTTATAAAAAGTTCCATTATCGCATCTACCAAACTAACATTATCAACTTTTTCATTTATGCATTATTTGAATGAACGTACAAGTTATTTGCCAATAAAATTCTAGCATATTAACAAGACTTTTCTATTAAACTGATGTCTAAAATATGAGTTAGAATTACATATCATATCCATATGTGGACATACTCATACCCATTGTAAGTTTTTCGTAATATTTTTAGTATTAATTAGTTATGCATTCAAATTCAAGTTTAAATAGAGGACATGTTGCTTGTTTGAGAATCTTTCTTCGGTCTATCATTTCCTATGTTTTTTTTTCTAATATACAACCCTAAGAAACACAAAAAACGACTTTTTGTTTCAATCTTTTTGATATTCAATTGTGTTATACCTAGGTCTCACTAGTAGAAGACCCATGATCGCGACCCATTATTTTGAGGAAATTCTATGTTGACGTTTGGGCCGTCGTATGCCCATTAGAGAGGAAGAAGGAAGATCAGAAGAGATCGAAGAAGAAATTGAGAAGGTGAAGGCGAGATACAAGGAGCGGAGATCTCGTAGAAAATAGGGAAGATCGAACATATAAATAGGTGTATTGATTAGTATGAGGGACACGACCATTTGTAACAACACACAATTGCTTTCTAATAACAAATTTATTTCTAGTATTGATCTCGATATTCATAATAGCCTAGCCGGAAAATCTAGCATTAGTCTCCTAAATCCTATTTCGTTCGTAGTAATTTTTATTGGTGGATTCTTGCAACCAAAAATTGTAAAAATTTACAATTCAAAACGAAAAACACAACCGATACTACCTTGACGTACGATAGAAGAAATTTTACAGTTGTAATCCTATTTCATACAAAGCATTGTGCTTGCTACTCCGCCATAGAAGAAATAAATCTTACTAGCAATGAGAGAATATAAGATAAATACACTATAGAAATTAATTGAAAATTAAATATATTATTTGAAATTATTGATCCACTATGGAAATTAATATGAAAAGAATTTGACTAAATCTATGGGATGGTTTAACAAAAAAAAACTTCATGGATGTAACGTTTGAGAATTTGTTTGTTCTTTTTCAACGATGGAACCCCACTTCCTTGTGTCCTTTTTAGATTCTTCCCCGACAAAAGTACAAATCATTTTACAGAACAAGAAGAAACAAAACACAGTTCAAACTTTTTTTTATTACCATTGTTCCCACAACATATTTACACTTTTTACCACTTATTAGATTCTTTGTTTATAAAATGGCCCACACGGTGAATCTGAATCATGTGATTTTGTCATTTATAAATTTGATTTTATATTTTTCTTTTCCATTAAGTTTTTCCAAAATTCCAAATTATTATTTATTTTTTTTGTTAAGTTTCCACTAAAACTTCAATTTGCAGTGATTCATTTCTTTTTGGGGGTCAAATTAAGTTGCCATGATTTTTTTTTTACAGAAGGGATTCGTAAATAAATTATTCAAAATTGGTAGAAAATCAAAATTTTCAGTTGTTAATTTAAAATTGAAAAAAAAAAAAATGTAACCAAGTAAGAGATACATTCAGGTTCATTAATTTACGATAGAAAGAATATTTCTCAGAATAAAAAAATCTCTATAAATATGGTTTTTATTTTATTTTATCATCATCACAAGAAAAAAAAAACACAACACAAAACTATTCACGTGTGTCTCTGCAAATCAATATAGACTTTGTGCAAGGAACCGATCGAATACTTTGTGTGTGAAGGTACGTACACGAACATACTCTTACAACTTCAAATTGGTAACCATTAACCAAGTTCGTGGTTTTGCTGCAAAGATTCTATGAAATTTTTATAGATTCATTCAATCGTTAAAAACAAAAACACGAAACCAATGTTCATGGTGTTTATTTTTTTTTCTTTTGGGGCATCTGTTCAATTCACATCTCTTTTCTTCAAAAGAACGAATACATATATTTGCAATTATTTATTAAATCTTATATTATATGGTTTAGATATTGATCTACTTTCTTTATTACCTACAAAACCCTTATACTTTCATTATCTCTTAAATTCGCATACCTAACTTTTTCTGTTGATAATTTTATCTCCATGATTATGTTCGTTTGGGTGTCGCTAGTGATAAAAACCAACAATGTTTGTGTTCATGTCAATAAATTAAATCATTAGTCATTATTAGAGTATCTTCATTGCACATAAGTGAGGAGAGTATCTTTAAAATATTAAAAATGAATAATTAAATGTAAACAATCTAGAATTATTATACTTATACTTTTTGTTTCCACCAAGACATTTAACACAGTGTCTTAAGTTTAAAAAACTCTAATATTAAAGTATTTTTTATATATTATAATTTTAATTGTGGGAAGACTCCTTCGGAACATAGTAAGGAATGGAGTTTGTATTTGCTACATTTAAACGAGTAACATATTACATTGGTGTTTCTTCTTCTGGTTTTGTTTGTGTTTTTTTGTTAACCTCCTTTGTTGTGTGTTATTGTCTGTTTATTCCGCTACTTGTTTTCTCTGTAATTTCTGTAATGGTATAAAATACTTAACATTGATACAAAAAAAAATAAAACATATCACCTCGATAGGATAATGAACAAACATGTATTGTATTAAATTTATATAGTAAATTTAAAATTTTCCTCATGAGATGATCTATAACCTCTTATGGCTCTTCAAAATCATACTCCATTTGAATGACAAAAACAAATTCTATTGGATGAAATCTATTGGGCAATTTTGATATAAACCAAAGTTTAGGGATGTTTTTGTCAAATAAATTAAAACGCTGGTTGAGTTTATAAAGTTTTTTTTTCATAACTCTGAAAGAGAAAGAGAGAGAGAGAGAAGAAGGTATCTTAAAGAAGTCGTGAAGGCTCTCTTTATCAAAGCGATGCGTTGAACAAAGGAAGGCGAGTGACCAAACCAACCCAAACCTTCAATAACAATGGCGAATTCATCTTTCCTCTCTTCTTATTCCTCTTCTTCTTCTTATCACGATCCTCATTATAAACCCTAATTTTCTCACAGTTTCAATCTCTCTCTCCCTCTAACAAACTTCTCCGATCTCAATTTTTTTTTTCTCCGGCAAGGGGTAAACGAATTGATCTGCATTCCTGATTTTACCCTTCTCATTGTTTGAATTTTTTCGATTTTTTGATTTTTGATTTTGCTCTGTATTTGTTTTGTAGAGATGACGGAGGCGACGAAGGTTTTGTATATAGTGGTGCGTGAAGAAGATGGTGATGATGATAATGGAGGAGATGATTCGTTTCGGTATACGCGTCCTGTTTTGCAGAGTACTCTTCAGCTTATGGGTTGCAAAGCTCGTCACGCCTTTAAGGTGATTTCGTTGTTTCAACTTCGTTTTCAATTCAATGTTTTAGATTCTCTTATATGTGTGTTTTTTTGTCGTCTTGTGTTGTTTGGATTTACGAATTGAGGTGGGATCAATGATGGGTTCTGATCAAGCAATGTTTTTACATTGGTTCATACTTGACTAGTGCTAAATTTTAATGTACTTGCTTGAAGTCTCTGTTGCTTCATCTCTGAATTTGAAATTTTGTGTACTAGTATTGAGCTTCCTCCGGTGAGGATTAATGAATGTATAGAAAGGACAAGACTTCCTTAAAACCCTTAGTAAATTGCAGGATTAGAATGGTTTCGATTCACTTTTGGTTTCCCTGGCATGACTTGTTATGCATGTTTTTGGTTTATGATAATCTGTTTTGTTTTCTCTGTTGGCAGATCAGCCGTAGGGTTTTTGAGTTGATAAGAAGTGAGGGATCTTGTAATACCTCACCAGAGCGTGGGAAGGAACCTGAATTTGCAAAAGGAGTTGGTGGTTCAGCTTGCGTAGAGAAACTTAACTGTTTGGTTACTGGTGATGTTGATGTTGACAAGAATAAAAGCAAACCATTTGAGATGTACAAAAGGAGGACAACTGTTGTTGTTTCACGAGAAATATTCTTAGATGTTGTGTGTGATGCCCTGGCTGAGTATAAGTATGTTGGTCGTGACCAAAGGGCAGATTTGATTCTGGCATGCAGGTAAAATTTCTTAACTTTTGGAATATATCTTGATATGTTATGTCATAAAAAGTGATGGCATATGGAATCTGCATATGTGTGTGGCTTTTGTCATGTTTTCTTCTTTTGGATGCATTAAATATTTTAATGTGCCTTTCTAAGATATTCTTTGGCATTTATATGGTTATCTAGTGCATATATGTGATATAAATAAAATAGTAGCCAGACTGTTCATATTGAATGGCCAATAAGGAGATGTTATCACGTACATTTATCTCTCTTAATGCTGTAAAATTGTAGCTGATCATACTTTTCCTTCATGTTCCTTAGATTTTCCCGTACATAGTTATATTTGGTTTGTGGTTGTATGTCTATCAATGCTGTGCTTGCATTGAGCTTCATAACCTTCCATGGACGGCTGTACTTTTATTAGTTATTGATAAAATTTGGCTGTGCATTGGATTTGCTATTTCCCACTCATATATTATGGTCTGACACTGTAGATTTTTTTTGAACAAACACATAATTCGACATCTCTTCTTATCACTTGCAGAATCCGAGAAAGGAAAGAATCTGTAACTGTTTTGCTCTGTGGCACCAGTGGCTGTGGTAAATCTACATTGTCCGCTTTGCTGGTAAGTATTCATTCCTTCTGTTGTATGCAACGATCGGCAATAAGAAGCTCTTTTCTTTTCTTTTTTGTTATATTCAACTCGTAGGCTATGACTTAATTTGCCGTTTCCAGAGTGAAAAAGCGTAAGATGTACCTGGTTTCAATGTGTTCTAAATCAGATGCAATATGTAAATATATGTTACAGGGTAGCAGGCTGGGGATTACGACTGTGGTATCAACTGACTCTATTAGGCATATGATGCGGAGCTTTGCTGATGAGAAGCAGAATCCTTTGCTGTGGGCTTCAACATACCATGCTGGAGAGTGCCTCGACCCAGTGGCAGTCGCTGAGTCAAAAGCCAAAAGAAAAGCCAAAAAGTTGAAAGGATCTCGAGGTGTAAACGCCAATACCCAAAAGACGGATGCTGGATCAAACTCAAGCACCACTGAGTTGTTAAGTCATAAGAAGATGGCTGTAGAAGGGTATAAGGCACAAAGCGAGATGGTGATTGACAGTCTCGATAGGCTCATTACCACATGGGAAAAGAGGAAAGAATCGATAGTCGTTGAAGGGGTCCACTTAAGCCTTAACTTTGTGGTAAGTCTTATCTGTATCCACTACACATTGTGATGTAAGGCTACTAGAGTAATAGGTTATCTAATTTCTGCTTTATTTCATTTATTTGCAGATGGGACTGATGAAAAAGCACCCTTCGATTGTTCCCTTCATGGTATACATCGCTAACGAGGAGAAACACTTGGAACGGTTTGCAGTCCGAGCCAAGTACATGACTTTGGACCCAGAAAAGAATAAGTATGTAAAATACATACGAAACATTAGAACAATACAGGATTATCTATGTAAACGGGCTGACAAACATCTCGTTCCTAAGATCAACAACACAAATGTCGACAAGAGTGTGGCTACAATCCATGCGACAGTCTTTGGTTGCCTGCGTAGACGTGAAACAGGAGAAAAGCTCTATGATATAACCACAAACACTGTTGCTGTTATCGATGACGAGCACAGGAACCAATGTGCAGCCAATTCATTAAGTTCCAAGGGAATGTTTCAGGTTATCCAAAGACAAGGCTCCTCTAGGCGTTTTATGGCTCTTTGCAATACTGATGGTACTGTAGCAAAAACTTGGCCTGTTGGTTCCGTTGATAAGATCAGGAAGCCCGTAGTTGATACTGAGACGGACGGTAGGTCAGAGCATCAGCTACATAAAGCTGAACCAGTGAATCTTCAGTTCGGTCACTTTGGGATCAGTGCTTGGCCTAGTGATGGCGCAACTAGTCATGCTGGGAGTGTGGATGCAGATTTTGTTGAAACCGGAAGCAGACATTACTCTTCTTGCTGCAGTTCGCCACGGATATCTGATGGCCCTTCAAAAGAGGTAAATCCTACACTAATCAATGTGTTGAAACATAATTTTTTGCATTTAATTTACCATATCCTCCATGCAGCTGAAGGAGGAGCAGTCTGTAAGTGGGAGCGATGAAGATGAAGATGAAGAAGGCGATGAAGACTTTCCTGAGCCAGATTCTGATGAAGATCTCAGCGATAACAATGACGAACGCAACCGCGACGAGGTAACCAAATCTTGATTAGTTGGGAGGATGTCAATGCCATTATTATCTCTTTAGTGTAGCTTTCCGTCAGTTTACATGTAATCTTAAACCAGGTTGGATCGGTGGATGAGGAATCGACAAAGTCAGATGAAGAGTACGATGATCTGGCAATGGAAGACAAGAGTTACTGGACAGACAACGAAGAAAAAGAAGAATCCCAAGACACAATCTCCATGGTGTCCGAAGCCACAAATCCCAACAAAGATGAAAAATACTCCCAAAACCTCGATCGTTTTCTCAGGACAGCGAACCAACCATTAACTGAATCCCTCGAACTCAGGGGTGAATATGAGAACAGAATGGGAGTAGCCAACTCGGATAAAGCCAAGATGAGGAAACGTTCTCTTAGTATTCCGGCTCTCAGAAAACATAGTTCAATCATAGATGATCAGATTTTGGCTTATCAGACTGATCCAGTTCCTTGAGTGCCGCCTCATGACCTCTCTACCTGTGTTTTTTTTTTTTCCTTTCCGTTTTTGTGTTTTAAGTAACTTTTAACCTATTAGATAGCTTAGGTTTGCAAAACTGATCAAAGTGTTTAATTAAAATTTGCTAATCTCATCCTTCTCTCTGCACAATTTCCAGCAGTTCACTTATTTAAGCTCTTTACAGGGGAACTTGGGCATGCGAGTGTTGGTCTATTTTGGTTTTTGTGAAATTGCTAACCAAAAGTATGTTTGAATAATTGGTTATGTTTCCATATCATCTAAAACTGATGTGGTTTTATGTAATTACTTTATTATCTGTGATTTCTGGTGCTTAACTTTGAATGTTTTGAGAACCTAAACTTTGTGTGGCTAAATCATAACATTGGTAATGTGTTACCGTTTTACTCTGCAAGGTGTTACTCTTGGCATTATGCACGAATTTACACGTCAATAACTAAAAAAAGATTGGAAAAGTAAAATTGCAATTGTATGCAACTGAAGTTGATTGAAGAAAAAATAAACTAAAAAAAAGGAGACCATCTTGAATCAAGAAGACAGTTGAAATCCCTCACTCAGATTCCAATTCGGCATATCGGATTCCGTTTAATGAGACCGAGATCCACCTGCGACGGAGAACGAATAAAGATTGAGTATATGGAAATGGAAAACAAATCAATGTTGATCCGAAGATGTTTTAAGTTAGAAAAAAAAACATTTTGTGATTACCTTATGTCCAAACAAATCTCGGATGTTGTCGATACCATATAATATCATAGTTGGTCTGGTTGTTTATGAACACATATCAAAAGAAAAAAAATATCAGCAATGAGAACATATGAGATGTTTGTGAGGGAATTCAAAATTTCATTACCTTTCAAGACCAAGACCCCAAGCTATGACTTGGACATCCTCAGGTAGACCCATCGGTCGAAGCATCTCAGGTCTGAACATTCCCGAGTTTCCAATCTCCACCCACTTCCCTAATTTTTCATGGTAACTGCAATACAGAAAAACAACAGTTAGAAGGTTTTCACCTTTTTATCTCTCGGTAAATTAGTAAAATATCTTACTACTCCAGACAATAGTAGTTTACAAACTTTCATCAGTTACCTGAAGATCTCCATGCTTGGTTCAGTGTAAGGGTTGTAAGCTGGCTTGAACATTAGCTTTGGCATCCCTGACAAAACCATAATGGTATTAGATTTGTTTCTCTCAATCAAGTGTGTACGAGAACCAAAATGGCGAAACTAAGGAAATGTTTTACCTAAGCGTGCGAAGAAGTCTTTTAATACACCAATAAGGTCTCCCAATGTAAGTCCCCGGTCACATATTAAACCTGATCAAAACATGACATGTATATCATTTATATGCCAAACTCAAAAAAGTTCACCCCACCAATTGAGGCCAATCAGTAGTTCAGTACTACTATACCTTCCATTTGATGGAACTCTGCAAGATGAGTCCTATCAACAGCCTCGTTTCGGAACACACGGTCAATCGAAAAATACTTCTTCGGGACAAACGGTTTCTACATACAGATGATACAAAGAAATGTAGTTATACTACTGAAATTTAGTAAATATTAACACAGTTATGGGACTGAGAATGATGATATGCTAAATAAGCTAATAGTCTAGTCAGACCTGTGCTAGTGCATAAAGCATCCTAGAAGAGACAGCTGTTGTGTGAGTTCGGAGAAGGTTCTTGTTTGCTTCTTCTCTCTTCCAATCACAACTATACCTTCAATTGCAAAAGAGAAGTCAATGTCAGACTCAGAGTGATTACAAAATCAGTTGTAACCAGAAATATACAAGTCAATATATATATTATTACCCTCTTGATCCATATCCACCAGACTCATGAACACGTTTCACCTTCTCAACATAATCTTCTGGAAGTGTCCTTGTCGTACAAGGAGCTACATTAATCAAAAGAAAGTTTTACAAGAGTCATAACTGGGATGTCATAAAGTAACCAAGACTTTTAAGTACTCAAAAAAGATTTGAACCTTTTAGAAAGAAGGTGTCATGAGAATCACGAGCAGGGTGCTGCTGAGGCTGGAACAATGCATCAAAATTCCAGAAGCTACAATAGTACAAGGAAACAGGTTCAGACCAAGACACAAATAGAAAAAAAAAAACAAGAAGTGTCTCTAATAACACATCTTCCTAAGCCTTACCTGCTCTCCACAAAATTATTTGTTGGCATCTCCTCAAACCTGTTACCACATAAGGCTCTCACCATTAATAATATTTGACCAGCAATATAGAGAAGGAAGTTAAAAATACAAACTAGTCTCTCTTACCCCATCTGAACAAATATGTCTTTAAACTGCTTCCGCACCTGAGATAGACACAGAAAAAAACAAAATAAGCTTTAACACCAAAGGGATACAACAAATGTTTTGGTGGCAGCTTTACCTTAAGAAGAGGGTGAAGAAGACCAGAATCAAGAGGAGCTCCTTTAGTATTGAAGTTATACTCCTTAAACTCCAACTCTTTCCAGCTGCAGGAGAGTGTACTAATGTTATTGTATAATTTCAACCTATATATACAATTTGATCAGAGGCAAGGGAGTAGAACAAACTTTTCAAGATTTTCTCGAGTCAAGTCCGTGGACACTTTCCGTCTCTCGGGAGCATAATTAGGACCTTTCTTTATAGAACAGTACCCATTCCATTTCCTAAGAAGTACAAAGTATATAAAGATCTTGATAACAAAAGACTCACAAAAGAAACAAAACAGTACAAAAGAAGAGAGAAGAATCAATTACACTTGTTCTATGAGTTTCTTTCTGCCTTTGAGAAAATCAATACCGTCTTTGTCAACCTCCTGAAAGGTAGAAAGGGACATTTAAGAATCAAGATCAAAACTATGAAGGCAAAATGCAAACATTGATGGCACAAACCTTCCCTTGTTGTATTTGTAAAAGTAGTCCTTTCATTTTATCTTCTACATGTTGAACCTACAATGAACAAATAAAAGACTCAGAGCTATTTGATGCAGACAGAGACTAAACAACTTCAGAACAGTCTCTTGCATTACCTTTCTTGACACTTGCTTGTTTTCTAATTCCAACCACTTGTATTCCTTAGCATATTTCCAGGCAAAATCGATCGATTTGCCTAACTTTTTCTGTAAGAACAAGAATTTTAAGGACGTTTGTTTCTTATTAGCATGACTAAGTAAGTAACATATCCCACCATATATTATATTATATCCATAGTGATCACCTTGAGTTCAACCATTGAGATGCTACCTTCTTCTGGCACAGCTGAAAAAAGTTGTACCTCTGGTGAGCCTTGTGTAGCATACTTGTTTCCTTCTTCAGTCAAAACCCATGTCTTCCTAATAACTTCCTGTAGAAACAGTCCGATTAAAATTGAGGAACCTGTAAGATTTTGTCTTTGTCCGCATAGAGACATGGATTCAATATCTCTAAGATTACAATAACGTGCCGTAAAAGAGTACCTGAGCATCGATGTAACGAAATGCTTGGAGACTTTTGATGACGTTCTTGACTTGATCATGGTCGAGGTTGTGGTCGGAAGAGAATTGACCAGAATCAGAGATCTGATCACTGTTCTGTAGGAACCCTAGTATCGATCTCTCTGTTTCTGCCATAATCTCCTAAAATATTGGAATACAAGGTAGGGCTTGTGTAAGTCAAAAGACCCTAATCGAGTTCTAAGTTTCAAATCGTTTTAAGAGCTTAAGATCAAAAGGACAAGAAGAGGACACACCAACCTGTAGTCTCCACCACAAGAATTCAAAAAATTTCTACTAGGCTTCTGATGAAGCGGAAGTGCGTAACGTTACTTGTGTCGTAAGTTTCCCGAGAAGCCAATGACAACAAGAGCACTCTGTTTTTTTTTACACCGAAGAATTGTAAAGAATACACTTCTTTGCAAAGCTCGGTACAAGAAAACAACTCTTTATCAATTCAAGGATGTCCCTCTTTGTAATCATTAGAGGACTATTAATAGAGAAGCTAAATCCAAATACAAAAGGCAAAACAAAGAAGAAAATAGAAATTTGAGACAAAAGGAAAATTAACAAGAAAATAGAAAATGGAAAAGAACGAGAAGGAAACAGAGAAGTCTAGAAGCTTGTGTACTACGCAAAAGATGTGCTACATCAGCTTCTTCTTCAAAGTTCTCAAGATTCAAAGATCCAGAATAAAAACAAAAAAACAAAAAAACAAAAAAACTCTTTAGCTTTTCCTTTGGATGACAATAATAATTAAATCAAATCTTTAACCTCGTATTAAGCCCAAGTTATAATTTCATTTCTGACACCAAACATCTTTTTGTCTGATTTAATCACAACTGAAAACGAAGTTGTTTTGACTGTATTCTCAACCAAAATAAAAACTTTAAACATCAGTTAAAAAAGCGGAAGGAGTATAACAAAATGACAAAGATAAAATACAATCCCGCAATTAATGTATGGGAAAAATGTCATTTAAATCATGAACACTCAAATTTTGGCCATTTAAAACATGAGTTTTCACGGACTTCGTTTTTAAAACATCATATTTCGTTGACTAAGCCAAATGAACATCATATCCAAAAATTTGTTAACAAAACAGCTAACAAACATTTAGACATCACTAATTCATCTCTATTAGTAGGAGACGACGTCGTTTAAAGGTAAAAAAAGTGAGAAATATGGGATTTGATTTTTGAATTATGACGTTAGAATCATGATTTTGAGATATCGTTTTAGCATTAAACGACGTCGTTCCTCACTAAAAAATATGATTAACGATGGCTAGTTGTTCTGTTAACGGATTTTTGAATATGATGTTCATTTTGACTTGATAAACGAAAGATAATGTTTTAAAAAATAAATTAACGATAAATTCATGTTTTGAATAGTCACATATAAAGTTTTCCTGATTTAAATGGTCAAAATTTGAATATTCGTGATTTAAATGACAATTTTCCCAAATTATATATCAAAAAAAATGAGAATCCAATTTAACCTGTCGGATCACCTACTTCAATGATAAATAATGCTGAATCAATGCATGTTGGATCAATTTAGTCACTTAATTTTTTATTCTTGGACAGTCACAAAAACAATAGCAGTGGACAGATAACTCCGGACACAATTTTGGGAAATAATTTGACATATAATAAATAAAAGCAAGTATAGTCATTTCATTATATTGGCCAATATGACATGTCCACTTAAACCTCATTTTACCATTTATTCTTTTAATTTCATGTCTTATATTTTACATTTTCTCTTCTTTCAAGTTCTATTCGGCATCAAGTTACAAGTTGTCAAAATCCTTTCAATATTGTCTCTTTACATATTTTAGAATAATTATTTAATCGAAGGAAAATAATATTACTTTGAAGAGTTTTGAATTTCAACTTTAAAAACAAAAATCTCTTAATTAGTTGACAAAAATTGTCTAAAAAGACGGAAAATTGAAGTAATGAAAAATACATTTTTAGTCTATAATTTGGCTTTTAAAAGTTACGTGAAAACAGATTATGCTTAGTTCATACATAATTAGCATTATAGTACTCAACAGTTTATGAAAGAGATTGAGACACTTGATCAATATGGCTAACTAACTTATTTATTTGATTAATTAGTTCAAGAAGTTATCGTCCCACGTATGAGTCATCGTTCATTGTGGGTTCACTTATGTATATACGCAATCATTTAAATTTGACTATCTTGAATCAATCAATAGAAACATGTATAACGTTGTAGCCATCATATAAATTTGATGACGTAAGCAAATTAAGTTTGATGATGTAAGCAAATTAAATTTGATGATGTAAGCAATTGTATGCAAGTGACGCCAATTTTTTTGCACAAGAGTTGCACAAGAGACCATCTTGAATCAAGAAGATTATGAAATCTTTTACTAAGATTTCGTTTAATGAGACCATGATTCATTGAGGATTGAGTATATATAGCAAAGAAAAACAAAATGAATGTTTATCAAAATATGTATTAATTAAAAAGAAAAAACATCGTTTGCTTACCTTGTTTCCAAACAAATCACGTATGTTGTCAATACCGTATAATATCATTGTTGGTCTAGCTGGTTTTATGAATCATAGCAAGACCCCATGCAATGACTCGAACATCCTCAGGAAGACCCATTGGTAGACGCATTTCGGCTCTTAACATTCCAGAGTTTCCAATCTCTACCCATTTCCCCAATTTGCCATGATAACTGTAATCCAATAACAATAGACATGGTTTTAACTTTATTTTATCTTTCGGCAAACTAAGTTATTAACTCGCGTTAAATGTGGTTATGTTTTTACTGACTATTTTTTTTTTTTTTTAATTAATAATCATTTAAATAGTTATACATTGATAGGTTGTAGTATGCATAAATATTACCATTTTTTCAATACAAATGTTCTTTTACTTATATTTTAAGCATAATTTATTTTGCTTAAAAATTTGTTATGATAAGAAAGAAAAATTAAATTTTAAATATGATTGTTTTTCGTATAGATTGGTGTTGGTAATAGTAAAAAATATGACAAACAAAAGTTTATTTTAAACTTTTAAATTAATTTAGAGAAATTTTGAGAAATGACTCTTTCAAAATATATCGTTTCAGACATGCTCTTTCCTAATTTTTTTTGTTGTTAAAATGTCTTAAAAGTCCAAGATCTACCGAAATAGTGTGTTATAATGTACACAAAATTACAGTGTAAACCTTATAAATAACTTATAAAGCTGTATAAATCTCACACACATATTATCTAGTTATCTCCCTGCTATTCATTTATGTTTTTCTGGTTTTAAAATTATTTTTCAATATTATAATTTTTACTCTTAGATAATATTTTATTTTTATGTCCAGTTTATGGTTGATATAACTGAAATATAAATAAAAAATCATATATCTTGTACCTGTCTACACGAATTAGACCAAAAAAAGACGTCAACTTGCTTCACATAAGAAATATGATTTAATACGTTAGTAAGCAAACACAAAACCAATATATTAAAAAACCAAGAAAAACATGATCATAAAAAAAAGAATGAAATCTAATACTACAAATAACCAAACAAACATACAAACGTTAAAAGAAAGAATATAAAAAAACATTTGATTTTAATTTTTGCCTTATCATACTTGTGCCTATTTTTATCTCCAATTCCTTCATTAAAAGATTTTCTTGATCGAACACTCGAATATTAACAGTAATCGTATTACAAAAAAGAATTTTTTAAGAAATTTATAATTGCACTAAAAATATTGATATAAATTAAAATATTTGTAATTATCTTGTTTATTAATTTCAGATTTTGTTAATTTTGATTTGTTTATACTACTTATTCATTTCCAAAACAAAACAAAAAATGAAATTTTGAAATATTCCATATTCATATATCATATGTTCTTTTACTTCCATATATCGTTTCTCACAAAAACTTCTTAATATCAAATAGTATTGTAATTTAAAAATTTTAAATATTAAAAAGATGATCCCGACTATTCGTTTAAATTCCAACATGGACGCGTTTAAAATTTTATAGCTTCAACTAAGCTTTGACTTTTATAAATATAGTAACCTTTACGAAACAAAAAAGAAATTTACTTAGGGACTTTTAAAATCATGTTGTCTAATTAGAAAATTTCATATTTAATATTTTCTTATTTTCAAATATTTCTTTCATTTCAATATATCTTGTTTTCGCTTTCTGTAAAATCATTATAACTGAAAAATAATAATTATTAATTCCTTCTATATAAAATTTATTTATATGTAATATTTGTTTTTAGTTAAAATTTTGCATTCTTGAATATTTTATTTTATGTATTTTTAATTATAAAATTTGTATTTAGAATTTATTTTTTTGGTAAAAAACTTTAGTTTTATTATATTTACATCATGTATTTTAATAGCAAAATTTTAAATGTAGGGTTGTTTCCATTTTCAAATGTAGAGTTTAGTTTATTTCCAAATATCATCGTTTCTTTCCCTTTTTAAAAAATTTTAAATATAGAAAATAAATGTTATTTCAAATTTGTTAGAAATAATGAGATGTCTAATCCCAGGTGACATCCTCAGAAACTTAGACCATCTCCAACGGTGGGAGATAGTGAGAGATTCTAAAAAAAAACGTATATTAATATTTTAACTTATATATTTATATTATATTATTTAAATACAACTAAGCAAATAATAAAGTGACAAGTGTGATTAGGAGTTCATAGTGAGGTTCCAAAATCTCTAATATAGAGACCCATAATTTTCTCTTTCATGTTTTACTAATATTTTTTTAATTTTTAGTCTCTAAAAATGTAGTTTAGATACTACCTTTGGAGATGCCCTTATAACTTCGGCGTTTATATATTATAGTCTAGGTTATCAACATACGCTATGTACGGGTATATTATATCGATTTTTGAAATAGGTATGTAGTGTCAGTTAATATGAAACAACACGATAATTTTTAATTTTTATTCTTTGAAGACAAATATTCTTTCATTTATATTTTAGTATCATTTATCTTTTTCACAAAAACTTTTTTGATAAAAATAACTAAAAATTGAATACAGATAATGAAAAGAAAATCAGTTCCTTGAATTGCTCGTTATGGTCGTCTTTGTCGTCTTGCCATAACCA